CGTGCTAATCATTTCTTATAGAAAATGAAATTGGTCCAACGAAAACTGTATGCTACCTTAATACCGATCACGCTCATATACTTGAAAAATCGTGATCATCGAATAATATAAATGTAACATCTTCTGTATGTATAGTGGAGGGTCAAGCAGCTCAGTTCCTAGGAGCCGACAGCCCAGGCACCAGCACATATGATTTGATTATAGTGCTGAAGGTGATTTAAAGTTTGAAACCTCGACTCTGACTTGGAAACGAAGAACAAAATGTCACGAAATTAAACTATGAGGAAATGGTCGTTAGCCTGCATGCTTGTAGATTCTTATATGAAAATGTCTTCCTGTATAAACCTCATTTATATAAACCTTGTTGATTTAAACAACTTTTTTCCCGCCTAAACGACACCAATCCAATGATATGTGGCGACGATTCAATCCTTGCCTGCCTTGTAATCAAAACAAACACAACGTGGGACAGGGAGAGGCATGGATCGAAGTGACCAACTTCACGGTTAGCCGCGATATTCAATCACGGACACATCAGTGACTGGACGGCGTTGTCATGTAGCGCAGGGGCCAGCACGTCCTGCAGCGTTATAATGTGTCTACTCTTTGTCTTTTCTACAAACTAGAACCTTTTTGCAACACGCTAACGCCTGTTAAAATCCTAACATTATTTTTAATATTGTTAAAGTTATCGCTAACATTTTTGTCGAGATTTACAATCTCTACGTTTCGTTCAATTTCGCAAACCAATCGATGAAATTTGAATAAGCTGATTTGTTTGGAAAAATACTTTGACAAAAACCCTACTTCGCGGTTTAATAATTTCTTTAATTTAATTTTATGGTAAAACAATATTTTTAAGAATTTCTTTTTCCTTTAAAAAGCAGCGAAGAATAAATTATTAAGATTTCTTACTCATGAGCATGCAACATACAATTGGCCATGAGTAAATTTTTCTTTCTGGGGTCAAATTTCAACTTTTTGAAACGTTTAGCCTTGTGATTTGTTTATAGCTCTCGCAAACGCAGGGTGAACTGAAAACTGGATTCTTGTATATAAAGACTAAAGAAAAGATGCAAAAAACAATATTGAATTTTTATTAAATAAGTACTTGTTATGTTAATAACTAAATTGTTTTTAAAATAGTGGGGGTATTTTGATGTTAAATAATAAAACTTTTAATTTTTCAGAAAAAATTAATGAAAATCTCTTGTACTAAGCTATACACCCTAGTAAAACCAAATGTACTTTGTACCGCTTTGCCTGTTTGCACATCCAAAATTTGGTTCTGATCGGTCAATGTATGGCTATTTTAGAGGGTCAACTTTGATCTTGAAATATTTAAATACAACGTCAATTGCCATCTTCTGTCTTCTTGAATTCCGTTCATCTTTTGTCCTTTCCTCAATCCTCCCTATTTTCTCTTTCACTTTCATTTCCTGTAACCCACTGCATATTAGTGGCATTACCGACTTGCTTAGGGTGAACTGATAAAAAATTAATTTATTTGAAATTGGCTGGTTAGTTGACAGGGTGAATGGAGAACTAGATCTGCATCATCTCTGCGCATGTATTAATTCGGAGATGAGAAAGAAAATTAACCTCACTTAATGTCTAGTGTCAATGATCTTCAAAATATTGATCTGGTCATGTTTGTTCCATTTCAGGCTCTCTATTTAATAATAATAATAATAATAATAATAATAATAATAATAATATCCTGGTCTTTATGTGTGTCATTTGATTCTTCACTCATCTGATCAAATGGAGATATCGTTTTGCGTAAAGATCCCCGTCGCTTTTCTACAAAACTGATTGATTGATTTCACGTTATTATCACATTATATTCGATTTTCTTTTGTCCGTTCGTCACCAACTCTGTTCTTTGTCGTATTGAATTGATTGTACTTCAGGCTTTAGTATTTTTTACTTTTTTCTTTTAAAATTTCTATCGATAACAAAAAAATTACTCCTATTGCTAACAAAATTTTTCTATAAATCCTGATACACCGTGCCGATTTTGGAGTGTTTTACATCAAGCATACTACGCACGGAGAGCATTCTGGGATATCTGAGAACAATACTTTGTGTTATGTAGTAGTATGTATTATATTTTTTGTCCGGTTTACACTAGAGCCAAAAGATAGATATAGGTTTGATTTTCACTAGTCAAAGTAGACGTGTGTCTTATTTACACGAGAATAAAAAAAAAAGATAAACAGAAGACTGGTTTACATGAGAGTCGAGTCGAAAACTTAGCTAAAGGTCCGGTTTAAACTATGTCTAAAAATGGCGGCATGGGTTTGTTTTACACTAGTTAGAGTTAGACATGGACCTGGTTTACGCGAGAAAAAAAAAAAGATAGACAGAGTTTTTGTTTACACGAGAATCAGAAAGGTAGACATGGGTTAGGTTTACATTTGAGTTCAAAAGATAGATAGCTCTTAACACTATAGTAAAAAAAAGAAAAAAAGTAGTTCGTTTTCACTCTTACAGTGGATTTCAGTTGAGGAATCGGAGGGCCGAGTTCGAATTCCAGTCAAATCCATTACATTCACTTACGTGACACTACCCTTGGAAACGGTATGAATCCTCTCTTTCTCCGTCCACCTATGGGTAAATAGCAGGAAAGACTGGGTTCTATAGCCTTGGATGGAAACTAGAAGAACAACTCTTAATTCAAAATCAGCGGAGGGTCGTTTGCGGACCTTGTGGCACGCAATGCACCAGGTCTCTGTATTCGGCCCTTCAAAAAGTGTGGTTGGTTCTGCACAAAGCCTTCACCGCTATAATCAAATCATATGTTCTGGTGCCTGAGCTGTCCAGTCACTGATGTGTCCGTGATTGAATATCGCGGCTAACCGTGAAGTTGGTCACTTCGATCCATGCCTCTCCCTGTCTCACGTTGTGTTTGCTTTGATTACAAGGCCACACATCACTGGATTGGTGTCGTTTAGGCGGGAAAAAAGTTGTTTAAATCAACAAGGTTTATATAAATGAGGTTTATACAGGAAGACTTTTTCATATAAGAATCTACAAGCATGCAGGCTAACGACCATTTCCTCATAGTTTAATTTCGTGACATTTTGTTCTTCGTTTCCAAGTCAGAGTCGAGGTTTCAAACTTTAAATCACCTTCAGCACTATAATCAAATCATATGTGCTGGTGCCTGGGCTGTCGGCTCCTAGGAACTGAGCTGCTTGACCCTCCGCTATACATACAGAAGATGTTACATTTATATTATTCGATGATCACGATTTTTCAAGTATATGAGCGTGATCGGTATTAAGGTAGCATACAGTTTTCGTTGGACCAATTTCATTTTCTATAAGAAATGATTAGCACGAAATTCAAAGACCGGCGCATTACTACGATTTGAGCCAAAAATTCCACCAGCTGATCTGCTGCGAATATGCTGAGGTGTATTTCACTATAGTTAAAAAAAAATCGAAGGGTTTAGTTCGATATTAGATCGGTATTTCAGGGGTTAATTAAATGAAAAGTATAGCGTCATTGCATGGGCACCTACTGTAGTGTGATGCTTAGCAAGCTCGTTTTGCTGACCAATTTCTTAATGTAGGGAGTTCAATCTTCACTATAGACCCCAGTAATGTGACCTTATGTCAGTCTAAATTTAACACCATAAATAACTATAGCAGCGCAAAGTCCTGTAAGCTGATCACAGATCAGACAGATTAATTTAGTGACTTCGATTCCAAATGGAGGCTTCTGTATTGCGACCTTGTGTCAGAATGAGCAGACCCGAGTTGACAATCCTATATCAGCAGGGTTTGTAGCTAAAGAAAGTTGAATTGTCGTAGTGTTGATAATTATATGTAACTATCGATCCTGTCGGCATCATCCTCCAAAGACATCGACCCTGACTTTTCAATGAGAGTTCAGATAAAAGTTGTTATTTTTACATTTGTTAATAAGTGCTGTTGAAGTTAATTAAGATTGCCGGCGATACCGCTGGCTTTAGTCTTTCACATGCATAGCACGAACATTGAGGAGTCAAAACTGGTCTTCGACTGTTCTTCAACGATATTTCTTCAGATACTGGAACACAACGTGGGAACGCAGGATTGGTGCAGAGCGGGCTCACCGGAGACGGACCAACGGAGACAGACCCAAGTTAAAGTGACATTCAACGAAGCACACAGCAACAGGGCCACTAGCACAGTGTATCATAGGTTGTAGTCGTATCATAAAATCGAGGGTACTTCTTACAATGGAGAAATATCCATCGCGAGATGCTAAAACGTGATAGTCAAAGGATCGCTATTCCTCAATAAAGTACAAAGAAGAATCTGCAATGTTATTGGTCTTGACCTGGCATTTCGGTTTCAGTCACTTTCACATCGCCATAACGTAGCTTACTTCTGTCTTTTCCATAAATACTTTCATGGTAGTTGTGCTGATGAGCTTTCCTATATGGTACCTAGACTTTATAAATTTAAGCGTATTACTAGACCGGCAGCAAGATCTCATCATTTTACAGTTGGAATGACTAAATGTAACCGTAAGTTCTATGCTAAGAGTTTCTTCTATTGCACTTCTCGCAATTTGCATTTGAATTGGCTAGATGTAACAGTAAGTGCTATGCTGTTTCTTTTCTTGCACTTCTCACTTGTGGAACTTTCTTCCGGCTTCTTGCGTTCGAGTCAAGTTTGATCTTCAAAAATGCAAAGGCAATGTGAATCGTTATCTTCTGTTTTCTTAATTGCTATTCTTTTATTGTTCTCGCTCTTTAATAGTGTGTTTTTTCTCACATGTTCTCACACTCAGTAACTCCCTTGCATCTTAGTGGCTTTATTGCTTTGTTTGAGTTGAAAGGATTAAAAAATATCGACGTCAGTATGCTTAATCGGTTTCAATTCAGATTTTTTCTATCCATAGTTAAGGAACCCACTTTGCTCTGCTATTTAACCTAAAGATGGGAGAAAAATAACTGGATTCGTCCAAAGGCAATAATACGTATAGAACGCAACAAACTAGACCGAAATATAAAGTCATAGATAGATAGATAGATAGATAGATAGATAGATAGATAGATAGATAGATAGATGAGGGCCTTGAATAGATAGATAGATAGATAGATAGATAGATAGATAGATAGATACAAATTAGGATAGACAGAAATTAATAGACTAGGTTATACACCGGCTTTAATAATAAGTCCGATAGGTACGACAAAGTAAAACTAGCAGCTGTTCTCGAAAATGACCTCCCAATCAGTTATTAACTGGGACATGTAATGGCTTATAAACTTTAATGCTTCAAAATGAAAACTCTATCCTTTAGTCATCATAGAAAACCACTTTTGGCCTCTATCAGCATGGCTGACGCTAACCTCCATGTGAGTAACTCTTTGTGCCTTCTTGGTTTCACGTTTTCCGCTGACATGCGGTGGATCGATTATATTGAATCAATTGTTAGATCTGCTGCTAAGCAATTCGGTTCACTGTGTCGTACCAGACAATTTTTCTCATCGGAATCCATGTTGTACATTTATAAATCTACCATTGGCCCTAACAGACGAAACGCGTCACACGAAAAAAAATTTCCACTTTGTCATACATCTTTCCTCCAAAACTGTTCTTGATATATATTAAAGTATATAAAGTATTAGGGTAAGAAAAAACTACGGCGCTTTCTTTGATGATTTTCAACTTAACATCAGGAAGCTAATTAGAGAACTAGAAAGGATTATTATGAAAATAAATAGACATAATATGTCTATATTATTCAATGAAACATGCTTGAATAAAGATATATTTATATATATATATATATATATATATATATATATATATATATATATATATATATATATACATACACACACATATATATATATATATATATATATATATATATATATATATATATATTATTTAAAAAATATTTTACACGAATATTTCTATGTTTCGATAATTCAAATTTGTTCCCTTATCAAGCGATGTCGGGTAACTTGATGAAAATGATTTACTTTTGAAAACAGAATAGTATTTTACTGAAGATTTAAGAAGCAGGTGGTGGGAACAAGATTTCAAAATTTCATGGGTATGTTCTGTTTGACCAATGAAAAGACTGGTCAAGACTAAAGAAGAAAAGTGAAAAAATGTAGTTTAGAGGTTTAGGGGTGTGTGTGTGTTATTCATACTTGTTAAGAATATCATTTCAAGATACAATGAAATCATCAGAGAGATATATTTACAACAATAGGTTAATTTTAGGATTTTATTTTTTCAATAATTTTTGTATATACTCTAGAACTAACTTAAAGGAGGCTTTAGTCTGATTAAATCATTTTTATATATTCTATTGATCCTATATTACAATACTTATATTCAATGGGCCATAAGACATGGCAATATTAAAATTAAAAATCGAGGAATTGAATAAATATTATATGTACCATTATATATAATAAAATAATGGATATATAATTGTAATATATAGATTTTTATGAAAAATTCTATTAACTATATTTTAAACTAAATATTGTGCAATGCCTACATATTACGGTTAGTTCATTCCGCTGATTTAACAGATCATTATTTTTAGGAAACTTAATATGCAGCTTTTCATGTAGACACAGGGGGCAAGGGCTATTTAATGACTTACAAATTCTCGTTTTTTTTTTATAATTTTCATTTTACTGTGGGGGTTTTATTGATGTCTTTTAAATACCAAAAATATTTTGAGAGGGATATTCGGTTACGGTACCCATTGTTGTTAAAAGAAGAAATATGCTGATACCACCTTCGTTTAAAAGGGTTCTTTGTGCTTCCAATATAAAATTTCTTAACATCTGGGTTTTCAGTAGCTGAAATGGTGCATTGGTAAACAATAGATTCAGTAAGACATTTATTTTGCAATGGACCATTTATGAGATTTCTACAATTACCTAATTTATTATCAATATTATTGATTTCCGTTCTGGAATTATGTTATTTTTATTTGGGTTAAGTGTTTATTTAAAATTTTATTATTATGTTTTTTATAATTTTTTCTAGATTATCAGTACAATATATATAGTTTGTACAGAGATCCAGAAAAACAGAGCTAAATGTTCATGAAGATTATATGAAGATAATCAAGCCGTGATAAATCATGGAAAATGAGAATTATCACTTGCTCTTATGAAGTGGCAAAAGACGGCGGTCGCGCAGTAAATAATGACACACGTTTAAATGGTAAACATTGACCAAACAGAAAGTCAAGAAACGCCTAGCGGTCAGCACCATAAATAGTGACTGGGTGTGTTTTCTTTCAATCTGTTGCAGGATGCATTTTCTTTTATTTCTTTTCTTTTATTTCTTTTATTTGAAACAAGGACTGTATATCGAATATAAATGTTAATTTTAACACATCCACGGATACATAGGGAGTCCATGAACGCCAAGTTAAGAAGCCCTGGTCTATAGCTTTTAAATAGGTCCCGCCACTTTTTCGCTAAAAGAGAGCATAGCGTATAATATAATTGGTTTGAAATGCACCAGAGTATTTTGCTTACTGTAAAACAGTAAATTTAATCCTTTAGCTTTTAATCAAAGCTAAAATGAAAGCTTCAGGAAAGCTTTTTCATTTATAAAAATTCATTTTAATCCTTAAATATTGCTAATTATTGGGGGTACCTACTTTTAAAGAACCCATTCCCTTTTCTAAGTACGAATACTCAAGATGTCCATTTGATTTCCAAGTGAAAGATATGACATCTGCAACTGTCAAAAGATGCCTCAGTAATTTGTTTTCTGTTTTTGGATTGCCATCATATGTACATTCAGACAGGGGCACATCACTTGTCTCAAGGGAGATGAAAGAATGGCCCTTCTCAATAGGGATAGGCACTAATAAAAGAACGCCTTAGAATCCCAAGAGTAAAGGAGAGGTCGCAAAATATATTTGAAAGTCAGTATTGATAATGTTCATATTGATTATCCTGTAACACCTCCAACTGCTGAACCACTTCCTCTTGGCAGATAAGAACGAGTTCGTAAATTACCAATGCGACTAAATTTATAATTAACTATACCGTCGAGGAATTGGTTTACATCTGATCAACTGAGTGGGTAGGTGAATGTGGCGTAATGGCGGTTGAAGTTCGGAACCATGTCTGAGTTTGTTTACGGGATTAATGGGGAAGTCACCGGACTGAGTTGCTTTACATTGCAATTAGAATTACTATAGTGATTTTCCAAGCGTAGCTCAGATGTGGCACAAGGCCTAAAGTAAGGAATACCCAGAGAATCGAACTCACTATTCAGTCGTAAGTATTCTAGCAAAACAAGTTTGCTAACCATTACACCGCCTCGAGAAAACTACAATTAGAATTACTATAGTCCTTAGATCTTTTCTGTTAATTCGCCCCAAAGTAAAAAATAATTTATATTTACTAAAATTCACACCAAAATTCAGAAATCACAAATTTATTTATTGTTATTTTTTATTTTTATTTTTATTTTTTTGCCTTTTGTCTCCAGAGGAACTCACACAAATAAAAATCTATCATGCTACGATGAGTTACGAATGTGGACTTATTCTTCATTTTGGCGTTCCGCTAATCCGACATAATCATAATCCCAGGTAAAATACAGCACCGGATTGTGTCCAGTTATGTGGAGACTATTCTATCTGGCAGATAGTACATGAAACATTCTTTTGTTTCACGACTTATGTCCCCAAATACCCATTGGGTTGACAGTTGTCAACATGGTTCTTTCGACGGGAGAAACAGTTGTCATCTATCTCTACAATAGTTTCGAAGTCTCCAATTGGTGATAATGACTTTAATAATTTCCAGGCATATAATTCTCTGGGGTAATTCGCCCAATACACAACGGTGAAATGATTCATCTCAAGTTCTTCTTCACAAAACTTTATAGTGGCTATATTCTTTGACCAGAAATAAATAAATAATATGATTTTATGGTCGGGAAGTTGGAGCCAATTACCTTTTCTTAGTAGCTTCTTTTCACGACATCCACTAAGACAGCAGCGCCATCTATCCTTTCGATCTGTTAAGCTCAAACTCATATCATATCCTTTAGAATGTTTCATCGGCATAGGAAGAATATTTATCCTCCTTAAGAAGCGAAAACGCCACTCTCCTTTCTCATTGCATTCTTCTATTAACTCCAGCAACTTCATGGCAAGCTAAGCAAATTTTGAGTATCAAAAATTTAATAAAAAAAAAAAAAAACTTTGATTTAAAATTTAATTTTTTTTTTTTTTTTTTTTTGGTGTGAATTAATATTTGCAATAAGTAACTTTACATTATTTGGGGTGAGTTAACAGAAAAATCCAAGTTCTTTTGGCACTTGTTTCAAGCTATTAACCGCATATGCAATGCAACGTCTTAACACTTGGTTGAATAATAGTGACTTTGGACAAATTGAATTATTTTTGTGGTAATGCCTCAGTTCTCTTTCACAAAAAATACAATCGGAAAGATAAGTCTTTCACTTCTCGGTCTAGCTAAAGGGTTAATAGCAGGATGGTCTGAACTTTCTAGAATCAATAATATAAACATAAATCTGATTTACGCTGAAATACAAACAGTAGATATAGGTCTAGTATTCAACCAGTCTACTTACTACGGAAATTATAATCGCATCAATTAGCGTGGAGAGGTTATGACCGCAATTAGTGTAGAGAGGCTATGACCGCAGTTAGCGTGGTGAGTCTATGACCGCAGTTAGTGTGGTGAGGCTATGACCGCAATGGTGAGGCTATGACCGCAATTAGCATGGTGAGTCTCTGACCGCAATTAGCATGGTGAGTCTCTGACCGCAATTAACGTGGTGATGCTATGACCGCAGTTAGCGTGGTGAGTCTCTGGCCGCAATTAACGTGTTGAGGCTATGACCGCAATTAGCGTGGTGAGTCTATGACCGCAATTAGCGTAGTGAAGCTATGACCGCAATTATCGTGGTGAGGCTATGACTGCATACTCGAACAGAGGAATCCGCCCAAAGCAAGATGGTAATGTCACCAAGACGCAAGGTACCGCTGGAATTGGAAAAGAAGGAATAGGAATCTAAAAGGAACCGGAAACCCAATCCTAAACAAGACAGGATGAACTGGACGACAGAACATATTTACTCCTATTGATACGTTCTTAAAGCCATTCTCTTAAGAAAAA